GCCTTATGAGAATTGATTTAGGAAACTGGGTGTGTTTAGCTTGGAGAAGACTGAAACGTGACATAATAGCTAATTTAATTATTCCATATGATGTCATGTAAAATATGAAGCCATCTTGGCTGTTGTTTTAGCTGGTATTAGAACACTGTTTTAGCTGGTATTAGAATACAAAATTACAAGAAGAGAGATTCAATTTAACTTTAGGAAGAACTTATTTATTGTAAGAACTGTTCAGCAGTGAAATGGACTGTCACAGGGAATAGTGGCCTCTCCTTCTTGGAAGGTCTTTAAACTAAGGTTGGATAAGCATCTTTCTGGAAAGCAGTAGTTGAGTTTTCCTACATAGCACAGGTTGGTTTAAATCGCCCTTGTGACCCCTTCTAATGCTAAGACTCTAAATCATGATTTGGGATAAAGTGCCACTAGGCTGAGATTGAAGATTCGGTGTCCGTGTTGTCTCTGGGGAGTGAGGAACCAATCCATGTCTTGCAAAAAACACCCAAACACAACCAGTTCTGTAAATAGAACTGCCACCTTTAACAGAGTAATGTTTAGCTTTTAAAAAGTGAATTTCCATCCATTTGCTTTAAAATGTGCTTTTTTACTCTTGTTTTATATTTGTTCCAGATAGAAATCAGTGGAAGACAGTGTACTTAGCAGTATAAACACTACAAATAATATAAACCAACTGTCTCGGGATGAAAAGTATATTGCAACACATCTGGAATGACTAGGTTATGGAAGACATATGTATATTCTAAATAAACTTTACAAAGCAAGTTGATGTAGGATCTTAGCACACACAAGACTGGAAACAGTAATTCTGTATGCAAACTATATTCAAACCATAGTTTATGACTGCTGATTGTGTATGAGTTGTATACACCTTGCCCATACCTTTTAAATATATATATATATATATATATATGACCCATTACACAGCAAACTGGTTTGCTCCTCCCAACTCATCCTTTTCCCTGACATCACTCCCTCACTTTCCCCCCTTTAATTTTTTTTCTAAATTTTGCACATCTATGGAGTTTTGAAGTCTCGAAAAAGCATTCTTGCAGGATTTTGAAGAACCACGCTTCTGCAGCACCAAAGGTTCCTGATTGCAGCTTTATAGCTTGGAAATCAAATAGGAAAGAATGAATAATATCCTAATGACAGTTTGTGTGTCCTGTGAAATCTGGGCTGAGATGTTCAAAAGATCCCCAGTTCATTTGTGCTAGAAACAGGTAGAACAAAGCAAGATGATCAATGACTTTTATTGTGGAGCAAAATCCTGCCTTGCTCATTTTATGATTTTGCTTTATTTTATTTATTTACAGCATTTTTATCCCATCTTTCTCAGTCTGAAGGCGACTCAAGGCGGCATACAGATTGGCAACAATTTGATGCCACAACATACATATATGCATATCAATTAAAAACATTTCATATAACACAATAAAATCCATATAAAATCATTAAAACTATAATTATCAGTGTCTTCCAGTTCTTTACTTTAAAACAAAGCTTGGGAGAGCAGGGTCATAAAGTGAGGAAAATGACACAAAGTTTAGGTTTTCTTTTTTCACGTAAGTAGCTATGTTTGCAAAAAGACACCCACGCTAACAGGATGGATCAGGATTTTTAAAAAGGATTATGTTCAGTATGTTCGATCAGTCAAATTTTGCAGATTCTACCCTTAAATAAGGGATAAAAATATAAAGGCAAAAACTCAAAGCAGATCAGGACATCAAAATCTACAGTCCTTCCACTGGAGGCACCAGAAGTAGAAAGAAAGGAGAAAGATTTCGGAGGAACCCTGTGGTCAGCAAAACACCCCCAAACATGCCCACATGGACACATCAGAGGCACAGCTAATGGTGTGCAGATGGGAAAAAAGATGGAAAATCCATGACATATAGAATGCAACACTACACATGCACTATTACAAAAAGACAATGTTTCTAGATAACTCTACTGTCTACATCCATCTCCAAAAACTGTACTTTGCACTCTTCCCATATAGATTCGGATACAATACACATGAATCAAAACATGCATCATGGGACAGGAAATGACAGATACCTGAAGAGACAGTTGCAAATCCCGTGATAAGAATGTGGCAAGGTGACATGTGGGTCAAGGAATGTATTGTGGAAAATGTATCATTACATTGGATGTAGTGAAGTAGAGGCAAACATGGTGTGTTTTTATTTTTAGATCCCCCCCCCCCCCAAAAAAAAGATTGTAATAAAAGAAAACCTACTGCTAAGTGAACCTAATGTGAAAGCTCACTGGTATTGTTGGGATGCATTTTTGTTATTTTAAACATTTTATTACTAGACTTGTACAGTACAGTACAATGATCTAGATATCTTCTTGGAAGCAATAAGTGAAACTTATTATTTTCTGGTAAGTGCACACAAAGTTGTATCCTTGCCCCCAATTATGTAGCACTGGAATAACATTATTTCTAGACTGCCTAATCCGTGTGACTAGAGAGTAGGTAAATTTATTTCAGTAAATTATTCAGAATATTTAATTCTGCTTTATCCAAATTAGAAATCAGTCTCTTATCTCTACAATGCCAATGCTTACAGGAAGATTTGTTCTACTTGACTTAGTCATATTTATGCCCAAGTTCATTACTATAAAAATGGTGAGTGCTTTGGAACAAAACTACACTTGTTTGCAGAAGAAAGAAAAAGAAAAGTATACTTCCAGATTCCCCCCACTACACACACACACACACACTTTTGACATGTACTACCTTTACATTTCATTTGGAAGAAACAAGAAACAGAAAAGTAGAAATAGTTATTAGCAGTCATTAAACATTTTGTCTGAGGATATGCAGTCAGTATATAGGTAGAGGGGGGCCTAGACTGCACCCAGGAACAATTTACATGCAGAAGCAGACACATACCACAATTGCAGCAATAGCAATCATAATGTGACTGCCCTGAAGCTAAAGAATAAGCTGAATGCAAATGTGTTCATCTTAATGTAGAAAGTTTATCATGGGCAAATGGGAAAGTGTCCTCTCTCCCCCCAAACCAACTGAATTGGAACCCAAAGCACAGAGTTATCAGTATATAAAGTATTGTGCCCTGCATATCTTTATGAAGGTCAATTAAATTAATGGATTATAGACCACAACAGCATATTTATTTATTTTATTTCGTATCAAAAGCATTGCATAAATTAGTATAAAACTGATAAAAATAGAAGGAGCACAGGTGGCTAAATATCCTTTGACCAAAAACGTGCAACAGCAATGGCATTCTCTGTAGCCTCCAACAATACTTCCTCTGTACATGATTGTCATGACACATGTAAAGATTGATGCCAAGACTTTTTTATCAATGAAAAACATTCCCAGTGTTCATAAGAACCTCTCCTCAAAATAAATTTATCAAGGGTTCCCTTCAAACAGATATTGGCTAAGTGCTGTCAAAGGTTTTCATGGCTGGACGCACTGGGTTGCTGTGAGTTTTCCGGGCTTATGGTCATGTTCTGGAAGCATTCTCTCCTGACGTTTTGGTTGGAAATAGCAACTTTCTCAAGCTTCCACTAGTTGTTTGTTATGTATATAATTGCTTACTGTATTGTATATGTACATAGTGGTTTTCAATTTTACCTTAACTCTTTGCAGTGGGAGGAGCTGCAGACCATGTGATCAGGTCTGGGCTTGTTCAGGGCTCAGACTCCATATTAGAAACAGTTTGTTTTGGATGTCAGTAGGAACAGTATGCTTAGACTCCATTGGACTTTCAGACTAGACAGAAACTCTATTAGACACTCAGAACAGAAAGATGCTTTGGACTACTGATTATGAGAAAGATGTCCTATATTACTTACACTGAGAAATGACTTCAAATCCTATCTGTAACTGGATTCATATGCAAAATACCTGTATGCTGAATACATGAAGTTTGTGAGTAAACCAACTATGTTACTTTTAAAGAAGCCTGCTTATTTTTGTTTCTTGAGAGCATGATTCAAAGGCAAATATTTTTTAAAGGAGAGGAGAAGTTTTGGGGCAACTAAAATAACAATTCTGAAACTCTGCTGAATATGTATATGTTTGTGCATTGGCATATCTATGTCCCTGGACCCCAGCAGTTCAAAGTTATGCCTAGGTACATCGGTTTAACAGCTGAGAAACGTAGTTGCCTTGAATGAATGCTAGTGAATGCCATTTTCTCAAAATGGTTAGGATTCTAACAAGAGGTTATGGCATCATTTTTCAAAAGCTTGTGCCTTCTAACAAGGTCATGCCTGTCCAAAGATCATAAAATCTCCAAAAGTTTCTGGAGATTTCAATTTTCCAAAAGTTTTGCCCACATCTATGGCAGGCATCCTCAGAGGTTGTGAGGTCTGTTGGAAACTAGGAAAGTGGGATTTATATATCCGTGGAATAATGTCCAGGGTGGGAGAAAGAACTCTTATTTGTTTGAGGCAAGTGTGAATGTTTCAATTAGCCACCTTGATTAGCACTGAATAGCCTTGCAGCTTCAAAGCCTAGCTGCTTCCTGTCTGGGGAAATCCTAAGTTGGGAGGTGTTAGCTGGCCCTGATTGTGTCCTGTCTGGTATTCCCCCAGGCTTTGAAGCTACAAGTCCTCAAGCAGACAAGAGTTCTTTCTCCCACCCTGGACATTCCAGAGATATATAAACCTCACTTGCCTAGTTTCCAACAGACCTCACAACCTCTCAGGATGCCTGCCATAGATGTGGGTGAAACGTCAGGAGAGAATGCTTCTGGAACATGGCCATACAATCAGGAAGACTCACAGCAACCCAATAATGATGATGATGATGACGATACACCCACTCCTTATTTCTCCCATGTTCTCCGAATCCAGGCATCTCCAAAGGGCTGCTCCCCAGCTGTTTGGGCCTTCTTGTTTCCCCACCCACTTCCGCCTTCGATCACGTGACAGCTTCGATGGGTTTGGCTTCCCATTCGCTCTCCCTCTCAGCGGGAAAGGCACCCCACGTGACCTTTGTTTGTTTGGCTCCTGCTCTGACAGGCGCCGCTTCGCGCAGAGACGAAGGAAAGAAGCGACTGCGCAGCCGCGAGGGAGAGGTAGGCTGAGAACTGGGTCGGGGAAATAGCCGGGGGGGGGGGCTGTGGTGACGTCACGCGCGCGGGGGACGGGGCTCGAGGTCGTCTCGCGGAGGCAGTTAGGAGATGCTCGGCGCGCGCTCGCTCCAGAAAGGAGCGGGGASGGTCTCGCGCGCCATATACTTTGACACCCCTTGGACTGCCATGACTCAATGCTAAAAGGGAGTCCTTGGAGTTGTCGGTTGTTTGCTCTTTGTACACAACTTGTAAAACCACAACTCTGGGATTTAAATTGGTGTCATTCCACAGTGTAGATTGACTCACAATCCTGTCAGTAGACATCTTCAGATATAACTGGCAGTACTGGTCTGGTCACACTTGTTTCTGTGAGAACTTAATAAATACATACATACACACACACACACAGCAGTCATGGAAAGCAGTGAGAATCCACAAAGATGAGGACAATTTTAACAGAAAGGAAAAAAATGAAAATGAAGAAAATCTGGCTACCAGTGTTTAAAAACTCTAAAATCAGGACAATAAATAAAGGACAACATAAAAAAACAGGAACTCCAGACAAGAAGCAACCAGGGACAGCTAATCGCCTCTCAACAAAGGATTCTCCCAGGCAGTAACAAGCCAGACCTTGAAAACTGCTAGGCCATTAAATGCTAATCAAGGTGGCCAATTGAAACATTCACACTTACCTCCAACAGACGAGTTCTTTCTCCCACCCTAGGCATTCATAAACCCCCTTTTCCTAGTTTCCGACAGACTTCACAATCTCTGAGGATGCTTACCATAGATGCAGGTGAAACGTCAGGAGAAAATGCTTCTAGAATAGCCCGGAAAACCTACAACAACCCAGAGTAGATTTTTTTGGGCAACTGGAATAACACTTCTGAAGATTGCTATATATTTTGTGCATTGGCATATCTTTGCTTCTAACAGTTCAAAGAGATAACCAGGCATATCAGTCTAACAACTGAGAAACTTAATCTGCTTTGCATAAATGCTAGTGGATATTCACCACTAAAGAAGAGAATTACTCAAACGAGCTTTTAGCTCTTCTCAGGGAGATCATACTATACAAAAAGGTTATGATTTTCCAAATGGTAGTGAATACCAGTTAATATCCAAAAGGTCATACTTCCAAAAGGCTTTGGAGGTTATGGTTTTCCAAAAGGTTGTGATCTCAAAGGTAATTCTTTTCCGAAAAGATCATCCTCTCTTAAAATATTTATATATGCAAATATATCAAAATGCCAAACACTTCTGCTCCTTGTTTAGATTTGGGTCTCATTTCCACTATGTACAGCAGGACGGGACCCACAGTTTCATTTATCCTCATTTGACAAAATATGGTCTCAGGGCATTTTCAGGGTTCTCCAGCCGGACTGATGGCAGACTGGGCCTAAAAATATGAGTTGCCAGGAGACAAAGGGGAGCCACTCACAACTACAAGGCTATTATTTAATTTCTATAAGAAATAGTGAAAATCTGAGTTTATATGTTAGACATGGGCAAACTTCGGCCCTCCGGGTGTTTTGGATTTCCACTCCCACAATTCCTAACAGTCTACTGGCTGTTGGGAATTGTGGGGAATAAAGTCCAAAACACCTGGAGGGCCGAGGTTTGCCCATGCCTGATATATACATGTAACATATGTGTCTGCCTCAAATAACACTATAATACAATTTGTTCCTGGGGTATAAATGTCATTTCCTAATTGGTTCTATCATAAAACATGGTAAAAGTTTATTAAACTGTTAAAAATTTGCTTTTTTAGGATATTTCTGCAGCACATTTTGCTATAGTTTTTCAATGAATATCTCCTCGAGCCTCAACCAATTCAGCATAGTTTGCGTCAGCCACAAAAACAAAGCTTCTGGAATATAAGAACTGCTTTCAAAGTAAGCACCACACAATAAAACAGGAAATAACAGTTTCAAACCAGGAAGAGAATATTATTCAATTTTTTACATAGTGTAATCCAAATTAGGATTGTTTTTCTGAGTTGTTTATTATATTCCTAAATATAAGCTATCCTTGAAAATTATATTGTCATCATTTTAATAAAAACAATACAACATAAATTTTTAGTGACATGTGGGAACTTTAGTTATATTTTCAAGCTACTAAAATGGCATTAACATTTTAACACATTGCCAATTTTACTTTAAGGGGACCCACTGTCAGACTCTATAGTCTTCTTGGGTTATGAATCTTTCATTTCAATAGGGTTTGTTATTCATGGTTTCGTCTGTCTCCACAAAGTCTGGTAACATATCCATTGCGAATATACTATACAAACAAATATTGCAAAAACTATGGTGATTGGGGGGGGGGGGGGAATCCAAAACACTTCTGGTCTCAAGCATTTCAGATAAGGGATACTCAGCCTGTTCTTTTGTGCCACTTTTATGGGCAGAGCTCTCCTCCTGAAGTGGTTTTGGAAAATGAATGAAACCTGCGAAGAACACATGTTCAAGATCTAGAAACTACCATTTTTAACCTTTATTATTATTATTATTATTATTATTATTATTATTACCCTGCTTTATGTCTCCTGAAGGAGATTCAAAGCAGCTTAACATAACAGCATTAGCATACAATTTAAAATATACAAATATGTGAACATTAAAAGAGAATGAAAACTAAACAGTATTTTTAAAATCACTGTTAGTGCTGGAAGGTTCTCTCTGTTGACTAAACAATCTAAAACATATCAAGATTGAGAAGCTTGGAGTCTAGAATGTAAGCTCAAGGTGTTATTATAAAAATAAAAAAGTGACTAACACCTAAACACAGTAGACAGAGTGTTGCTTTCCACAGCTGTGTGCAATAGAAATCACTTTCCAGTATCAATTTTCATTAATTTTGCCCGTGTACCACTCGATTTACATTTCCAATCCCCCTGGACGCAACCTATCCCCTGCACACCCTTTCCACCCCCTTTTTAATGTTATTACTGAAAAACTCAATAAAGATTATATATATATATATATAAAAGAAAGTTACTTGTATTAGGTAGCAGGAAAACGTGCAGTACAATACTAAAAATATGTTTCACTTAGAATAAACTTTGTATTGAGCCCTCATCTTTTGTGCCCAATTTTTCACAAGGTGCTGAAGGTAAAAAAAAAAGGGTAATCAGTTAACACATGCCAATGGGTATGCCAGGAAAGTGATAAATCATTGCATTTCTTTGTCTCTTGTGGTAGCAAACAATTTTCCTAAATATATTCCATATTTTGGCCTCCCACTGAGCTGCTGAACTTGCTGATTGAAAGGTCGGCGGTTCAAATCTGGGGAACGGGATGAGCTCTCACAGCTCTACCAACCTAGCAGTTCGAAAACATGCAAATGTGAGTAGATCAATAGGTACTGCTCCGGCGGAAAGGTAACGGCGCTCCTTGCAGTCATGCTGGCCACATGACCTTGGAGATGTCTATGGACAACGCCGGTTCTTCTGCTTAGAAATGGAGATGAGCACCATACCCCAGAGTCGGACACGACTGGACTTAATGTCAGGGGAAAACCTTTATCTTATTAAGGTAAGTAATACTGTAGTTGGAGCCAAGTGTACTTTATGGCAAACAAGCTTCTTGAAGCTTCCTTCTCTCTCCAATGGATTTTCTTTCTATGAGTAAGTCATAAATGAGTCACTTTACCTTCTGCTATGCAGTCCCAGAAGTAAGAATGTATTTGCAAATAAACACTCTGTACTGGTGACAGTGTTGCCTTGCAGCCTCAGATCATACATCTGGGCAACACAAGTTATGGTGTGGAATCAGATATTCAGAAGGACTGTGCAAGATAAAAATGTAGAGTCAATGCTTAATTTTTCAGTATTTTAAGATTCTTCTCATAGCCCAGATGGATCATTTCAATGTCAGGCTTTAGTACATGGGTTATTGCTGTAAATAAACCTGTTCCCATTGAAGTCATTTGCAAACTTGTCAAATATTTGTGTTAGGATAAGTGAGCTTTTTAATTGAATGATTAATAAAAAGAGACATAATCTAGGCACAATTAACTGTTACAACTTTTCTTCTTTCTAACAGGTACCTTTTATATGACCAATGGTGAAATTGATTTGTACTCTAGCAGATCATAAAGATGATGTCAACTGCTGTGCCTTCTCCTCTTCCTTCTTGGCTACGTGTTCCTTGGACAAAACTGTCCGGTTATATTCTTTAAGCAATTTTGAAGAGCTTCCTTATTCACCACTAGAAGGCCATACTTATGCTGTCCATTGCTGCTGCTTCTCTCCATTGGGAAATGTTTTGGCTTCATGTTCTACAGATGGCAATACAATTTTGTGGAATCCTCACAGTGGACTAAAATTGGCCGTTCTAGAGCACCCCTGTAGAAATCCTGTACGAATTTGCCGATTTTCCTCTGATTCCACCTTTTTGGTTTCAGGAGCGGCAGATGGAAGTGTCAATCTTTGGAATGTCCAATCCTTGAAAGTGTACCGGTGAGTAGGCCAACCGTAACATGAATTAGAAAGATGTTACACCAATCACCTATCCAAAGGTGTAACTTGATGTTACACTATTGTTACTTGATGTTTATTATATCTGAAGAAGGTGTTAAATATAGTAAAATCATTTTTATCAGGACCCCTCCCCCCCCCCCAGTGGCGCAATGGGTTAAACCTTTGTGCCGGCAGGACTGAAAACCGACAGATCAGAGGTTCTAATCCAGGGAGAGGGTGGATGAGCTCCCTCTGTCAGCTCCAGCTCCCTATGCGGGAACATGAGAGAAGGCTCCTACAAGGATGGTAAAACTTTAAAACATCCAGGTATTCCCTGGGCAATGTCCTTGCAGACAGCTAATTCTCTCACACCTGAAGCGACTTGCAGTTTCTCAACACGAAAAAAAATTATCAGTGTTATTTCTAGGGAAAATCTTGATCCTCAGATTTCAGTGAACAAAAATGAATCTTTAGATCTATGATTTCTTCAAATTAAGAGTTCCTTCTGGAAAAAAGAACCCCCCATTCCAGGAACAAGAAATTCAAATGTCCCCTCTTTTTTTGTTTTGTTTTGAGAATTCACTTTTTGACAGCCCATTTTTTACAGTTCTAGGTTATACTCAGAATCCATATTACTAGACTTTTTTTCTGTTCATATTAAAGACTGCTCACCCTGTCATCTTAATTCAGATCAACTGTAGTTTGTTAAAATACACTAACTTCAATCCTTGGTTTGTGAAGCTTTGGAATTTGGCTCACATTCTAGACTACAGATGGTCTGTTGTGCCGTGGCAAACTTTTAAATTCTTCCCTTTTATATATAGCTTAATTTTTACTATTGTATTTTTCAGACGAGTAATATTTTCACAGCTTTGTACTTCCAAAGTTCAAATTCTTTTATCCTTGTCTTTCAGATCTGGTAGTGTTAAAGATGGCTCTTTGGTAGCCTGTGCATTTTCTCCTAATGGAAGTTTCTTTGTAACGGGATCATCATGCGGAGATTTAACTATTTGGGATGACAAAATGAGGTGCTTGTATAATGAGAAAGCCCATGATCTTGGAGTCACCTGCTGTGACTTTTCTTCCCAGCCACTTTCTGGTTAGTTAACGTACTGTTTAAATAAATCCTTTCAATATTTTTTCCCTTTCCTTACTCTTATTCATATTCTTCTTCGTTTTGTCCTTGATGCTTGTGGCAGGTGAACAGAACCAGGCTGTTCTCAAATCCTTTTCATTTCTTCACAGTTACCCTTGTGCTGAACATGATTATGAAGGAAATATCAGGAAAGTTACCTGGATGACTGGCATATCTGTGAAATGCTAATAGTACTCTACATACTCTTTTGTGATAAAGCCTAAATTTTGTGATAGAGGGAATTATTCCGAGACGTAACAATTGCATGCTGTCTTCCTAATGCTCAGGTTTAACAACCTCTAGTTTTTTATACACAGCCAGTATGAGAAGAATAAACTGTGATTTTATACAGACTAATGTGGGAGAAAATTCCATTGAGCAGGCAGACGGATTATTATGCTGTATAATCATAATTCTAAATACATCTGGGAATAAGCCACATTGGACACAGAGAGTGACATTTATGCCTGTACACATTAACATTGTTGTACAGTATGTTAAAGTGAAGGTTATTGCAGGATTGTATATACACTTGCCATTCTATTCTCAAATAGTCACCAGAGACTCCCCCCCCCCCCTTTAAGAGAATCCGCAGTTTTATTGGGGAAGAAGAGACTGCAGGAAGAAAGTAAAATTGTTAAAAAGATTGCCTCCTCTCCCTTCTAGCATAGTGGTTCTCAACCTATGGGTCTCCAGGTGTTTTGGCCTACAACTCCCAGAAATCCGAGCCAGTTTACCAGTTGTTACATCACCCCTGACAAACTAGCCTAATATTATAAAAAGGTTCCTGATAACTGCTGGAAATGCGAAAGTAAAAGGGGCACTTTCTTCCATCAATGGTGGACATGTGAGAAATCAACAAAAGTCTGGAAAAAGATCCATGAAATCTCAAACAAAATACTCGATTTAAAAATAGAGATGAAACTGGAATATTATCTGCTGGGGCTACTAGACTTTGAAATAGAAGAGAACAAAGACAGGCTATTCTTTCACATGGCCACGGCGGCGCAAATCGTTCTCGCCAGAAAATGGAAAAGCAAAGAGATCCCGACTGTAGAAGAGTGGACACTTAAATTATTAGATATAATGAATATGGACAATTTAACGCACCACTAGAAAACAAAGCAGACAACCGATTCAGTTAAAACGGACTGGTCTCCAATCAAAATATATTTTGACATTGACTAACCAAAACCAGAGAGACTGAAATCTAGAAGCAACCACAACGACTATGACTAACATGGGCTAAAGGGAAGTAAATCATTTAACTTAAACTACTAACCCTCCCCACACCCACCCTCCTTCCCAAAACATCCGACCCGACTAAACACCGTGTTCCTCCTTTTCTCTCTCTCTCTCTCTCTTTCTCACATTTCCTCCTTACCCTCCCCCATCCAATCCCTATTATCCAGGAAATTTTAGTATAAACTATTCTGTTGTTGATTTAACACCCCCTCAGATGTATCCCCTGAAAACCGCAATAAAAAAAAGGATTTCTGAGAGTTGAAGGCCAAAACATCTGGGGACCCACAGGTTGAGAACCACTGTTCTAGCAGGAGATTTATATTAGCAACTCTGCCCACAGTTAGTCTGAATCAGCAACAAAAATCATGAATAGCAAGTCACAGTGTTCCTTACCTTTGGCAGTGATGGCTAGGGCTGTTGGGATTTGCAATCCAACATCTTTAAATCCTGATGGTTCTCACCACTTTTTAGATTTAAAAGATCCATTTTTGTCTCTCTCAAAAAGATGAGCTGTAGCCCAGATGTAGTTCTGTCTTTTTGAAAAATAAACATTTTCTTTCAAATTTTCCCTGTCCATTTTTGTAGTTGTTTGCTTGCTCTCATTTTGACCTCATCTTATAGCAACCCTATGAATGAGATACTCAGGACTGTGGCTTCCTTTATAGAATCAGTCTATCTCTGAAGTGATCTTCCTACTGCCTATGACTTGCCACTTTGCTGAGCAATATCACATTTTTGACTCATGTTACCTTACGGTATGTCCAAAGTATGATAGGATATGATGTTGGGTTTTTTTTGGTCATGTCAGGAGCGACTTGAGAAACTGCAAATTGCTTCTGGTGTGAGAGAATTGGCCGTCTGCAAGGACGTTGCCCAGGGGATGCCCAGATATTTTGATGTTTTATCATCCTTGTGGGAGGCTTCTCTTGTGTCCACGCATGAGGAGCTGGAGCTGATAGAGGGAGCTCATCTGTGCTCTCCCCGGATTCAAACCTCTGACCTGTCAGTCTTCAGTCCTGCCAGCACAGGGATTTAACCCACTGTGCCACCGGGAGCTCTGAGGATATGATGTACTACTCTAGTAGTAATATTACTCTAACACCCATTTATTTTTGTTTTTGACAGTCTGTACTATTCGTAGAATACTTTTCCAGCACCACATTTCAAATGAATTGATTCTCTGCCTTTCAGCTTTTTTCACTCTTCAGCCTTCACAATAATCCACAGAAAACAAAAATACTCCTACATTGCTGGAAGTGAATATGTACATTTGATTCTTTATTTTCGATAGGATACTTCATCAGCATTCAATACTTTACATTGAGTAGAATGGAGCCGCGGTGGCGCAATGGGTTAAACTCTTGTGCCAGCTGAACTGCTGGCCTGAAGATCGACAGTTCGAATCCACCAGATGGGGTGAGCTCCCATCTGTCAGCCCCAGCTTCCCATGTGGGGATATGAGAGAAGCTTCCCACAGGACGGTGACACACCTGGCTGTCCCCTGGGCAATGTCTTTGTAGATGGCCAATTCTCTCACACCAGAAGCGACTTGCAGTATATTCTCAATTTGCTTCTGACATGATAAAAAAATTGAGTAGAATTTGGAATTTGGGTGAAGAAGAACTGTATAATAAAATGAGAATTATGGCTAAATGAGGGACAGCAGGAGATCAAAGTCAGGGTCATGTTCATGAAACATCCCCCCCCCCCAAAAAAAACCTCTCTATTGTATTAATACAATTATCTTTTTTGACCTTCGTACATGTTATTACTCAATATTTATGATTGCTCAAACTTAGGTTTTGTAAAAACATGTGTTCTATGATATTGTAATATCGGTCCTGTTCTTTACAAATATTTAAAGTGTTGATAGCTGAAATACTATGATTAAGTTTGAAATATTATTTAATACCGGGATGGTCTATCTTTTATCTTTCATAATTGACATATTTTTTTCATTTTCAGTTCTCACTGTCGAGCCATATATATTATTATATTTACATAACCTGAATGCATTTTCAGAATATTTTCAGTTACACTATACATAATGAAGTATTATAATTATATCCCATAATATTAACACATACTGAAGAAAACAGGGCAGTTTCCATTACTGGTGTAATAATGGTAGAATAAACACAATCATCATCAACATAATCATCATCTAAGGAGCAAGAAGGAAACAATTTCTCTGTAATTTTTGGTGTACCCTAAAGCTGAGTCTAGAGTCCTTAAAAACCTTCAAGAACTAGTCTCTGGTTGATCTAGAAGAGGAGGAAAGGAAAATTCCACTGCAGCTGCCAATGCATGGAAATTCCTGTCCGTAATAGGGAGCGGTACCAAAACTGATTCTGTTTAGAGATTAGGTCTACAGCAAACATGCTTGTTCTGTATTAATATTATTTAAGATTATGTTTAGTTAATGTTTAAAATAAAGTTCTTCCAAATAATTTACCAAATATACTCAGGCACCGGTCAACCTCATGTATAAACTGAGGACAGGTTTTGGGGTCAAAATTATGGATTATAATATGACCTGCGGTTAAGTCAAGGGTCATTCCACAGAGAGGGGAAAGCATCACTTAGTCAGTAGACCAGCTGTCCTAGCTGTTGTTACTGCCGTTTCCCCAATCTGGTATCCAAAAAGGCCAAGAAATGGTGCCACAGCATAGAAAGAAGAAGGCGCTAGTATTTATTTAACATTCTCCCAGGACAAACTTATTTATTTGTTTATTTACTATATTTATATACCGCCCCTCTTAGCCCACAGGTGACTCAGGGTGGTTAAACTTAGTTCTTGCCTTTCTACTCAAGAGGAGGCCATCTGTCAGGGGGGCTTTGAATGCGATTTTCCTGCTTCTTGTCAGGGGGTTGGACTGGATGGCCCTCAAGGTATCTTCCAACTCTAGGATTCTGTGATTCTAGGGGTTTCATTTTTTGATAAGAGTTAAGGTATAGAACTCAAATTGACCTGTGGATAAGTTGATCCAGGTTTTTCCAATGTTATTTTTGACTCAAATGTTGAGACTTATACATGAGTATATACAGCAAGTCTTTATTTTTTTCACAAGAAAGGTTTGTTAACATATTCTTGTTTATCCACATTGACAGCAGTGGATATACTTCAGCCTTCTCAGCTGGAATCATTATGCCATTGTCTTTGCCAAGTAAAGCCAGTTAGAAATAATGTCAGTGCATCATAAAAACAAACTGTAGATCTGCATTGAGGCCATGGCATCTATGGTTTCAGTTTGATTTTGATATCCCTGTATCTGCTATATGTTAAAAAATAACTTATTCATCCCAATAGGACCTTTGGAGCAAGTTCCTCTGGAACAAATATGAACAGATGGCCTGATTTCCTCAATTGGGTTGGGACAGTAGCATGGAAAAAAAGTAATGAAGTCAGGAGACTGATCCAGGTCATGGGCCTATGACCAGAAATGTAATTCTTAAAAATATATGGATATAATTATTGCTTGTAAGATTGGCTGCATGTCTAGTTTGGCTTCAGTAATCCTATCAGATATTTGAGGAATGCAGATTATGGGCCCAGATTAGATTATACCTCCTCTTCCCTTTTGAGAAGAAGAATGGAAACTGGTTTTACATGTTGATAGAATGAGTCAACCTGGTCTCAGGGTGCCAGATCCAGCAATTGCTTTATGGTATTATGAGCAAATACTTTGCTATATGATATAATGCATAAGCTGTTTACAGTGAAGCAATGTTCACTGTTCAGCGTTCTGTGTAATGATTTGTGGCCACAACATTTATTCCTCAAAATTAAACAATTTAGTTCTACAATGATATCTTAACATTACTAGTGCATGTATCTAATGTTTATCATTTTTGTTGTAGTGGAAAATCGTTACATGTAATCATCATTTTATTTATTCTGTCAGAGATGATTCTGGCAGACCCCCATTTTCTGTTGGTACAGACATTGTTGGTTTTTTACTCATCTATTTCTGTGATTTGTATACAAGCATTATAGTTTTTTGCCTTTGATTTTGACAGTGATGCACTAACTATAAATGCTTCCTCACTTCTCTTTTGGGGAAAGCACAAAAAGCTTTTTTTTTATCCTGCTAGTTGCATTAACTCTTTTTCTTTCACTGTGGTTCTTTACTCATTCATATCTTATAAATGAGTGTATTCTATCAATAACTTTTCTTTCCTTCATATCAGAGGTTTTGTAGGAGCCCCCAGTAGTACAATGGGTTAAACTCTTGTGCCAGCAGGACTGCTGACTGAAAGGTTGGAGGTTCAAATCCGGGAAGCAGGGTAAACTCCCATCTGTCAGCTCCAGCTTCTCATGCAGGGACATGAGAGAAGCCTCCCACAGGATGATAAAACATCTAGCCGTCCCCTGGGCAACGTCCTTGCAGATGGCCAATTCTCTCACACCAGAAGTGACTTGCAGTTTCTCAAGTAGCTCTTGACACGAGAAAAAAAGTTTAGTAAAATACTGCTTTGTTTATGGTTAAATATCCTGTAAAACATGCAGTAGGAAAGAAAAAATGGGTTGTAAATGTATTCTAGATGTAAAATCTGTAAAAATTAGCCAGTTAACTGTGGTCTTAGCACTTACAATAAAAAGAATGCATAATCTGTCCCAGTTTTGTTTCCTAATTACCTGTGATGCTGAAATTAGTTAATCTTGAGGGATTGCTGCAGAAATAATCTGTTCACACTGGGTTTTTTTAATTTGGCTAAAATAGAGGTGGAAAGGGTATAGCCTTCCAAATGTTTCTGGAATGCGTCACAATTTACACAATTTACACTTTTGTCCTAAGGTATCTTTTAAAATAAATGCTATTTTCTACTAAAAATTGGGAATCCCAAAAATGGAGGTGGGGAGTGTACCTTAGACATGATGAAATATGGATATACAAATAGCATATTTTGGCTGTACGGGTGAGATTTTTCACACTTAAAATATTATTTGACACAGTTCTGTCAGTATGCAAAAACTGTATTATCTAAAGATATACTATTTTACTTTATGGCTGGGTAGCTCTGCTTCCCCTCCAGGCAGTTCTGCCAAATAATGGTTGTTCTCAATTGCATTTGTCTATATGTTTTGGAATTCCCATTCTCCACCAGAATTATAAGTATGCATTTTTGGAACTACCCTATTTATCTTGGTCTAGATCCAGCCTACTCAATTCAATTCTTTCAGAATTTGTCCATCTTATATATATTTAAAGAAATAATTCTTTTCAATATTTGCATATTAAAAGGTAATAAGGAAGATGTTGAATACTACCAGATGGCATCTTCAGGTCAGGACAGCACAATTAAGATATGGCTCATGTCATTTACTGAACTCACAGGTATGTATATTATGAACATCATAATCCTACACTGTTACTAGCTTTCATATTATTTTGTTGGAGATTATGTGTAAAAAGGTAAAAGCAAAAGAAGAGGGAATAAACTTGTAATCTCCTGGTGAATAAAAAGAAATGCAAAGCAAATTTATTTATATTTTAACATATGTATATCCTAGCCTTCTGTTGTAGTCACAGTGCTAGAGGCAGATTATAGCAAAGTATAATCTGTATTTTGCTTAAAAACATGACAAAGCAATACAGTAGTACAATAAAACAGTTTAAAAACACACACAGGCAGATGCAGCAGGTTATACAAGAGACCCAACCTGAAGCAATGTATAAATGTCTCACTATAAAATGACTTATTGATTGACATAGTAGTCATTGCTAATGACAGGGTGTCATTTTCATACTCTGTGCTGAGTCCAAAATGTAATTTAATATTCTACCTTATATTTAAACAAAAACAGATTTTCTCTCTGCCCCTTTTATTCATGGCATTACTTTCATGTCTTCCAATCCACTGTAATGTTATGTAAACCTGAACATGTTATTCATATTCTGATAGCATTTGGTTTCCATGCTGTAAAACTGGATGTTTTAAAATATAAAGCAACAAAGGGTTGTTGTTGTTTTGTTTTTTTTACAGTGAATTATAACACAATTTTAATTTTCTGGAGTAGTAATTGGGAGGCAGCCAAATTGTCCTAGTTAGATTTTTTTGTTATTATCTCTTCTGCAGCAGCTTTCTCTCAAAGTAAATACTTCAATATTGTGAGCTCTTTAGTTTGAAACAGCCTTTTCCACTTCAGTACAAATTAGATATATTTAACTCCCCTTCTTTCATCCTCAATCAGCATGGCCAATGCCCCAAGGATGATGGAAGCCTATAGTCAAGAAATTCTGGAAAGAAATCTCTTCAGGTTCCATCAAAGTTTACCAATTGAAGCTGATTGAACAGTAATACCAAAAGAAACCCCTTACATGTGTGATTCTGAAAAACAAGGGCCATGAAAAGTTCATCATGCTATGATAAAGTCTTCAAAATTCTGGCTGAAAACTATATATAGACCTTCCTGGAGACCTTCTGTCTTTTGTCTCTGTTCCCATCCAGTCCAAGGAGATGCAGATGTGTTGTCAGCCATTAATTCCAGGGGACCTAATAATTTAGGTGGCTGCTTGCATTTGGCATATGTTTCAGGATTATGAGAAGCATAACATAACTCATTTGCTTCCTTTTTCACTGTGTAAAGTTGAGAGTCATTTTCAGATAAACATCTACACCAGTGGTTCTCAACCTGTGGGCCGTGGCCCAGCAGTGAGTTTCAAGAATGACAATCCGGTCTGTGAACATCCTTTCTCTTTACTTATTTCATTTATTTTATTTCCGCTCCTTTCTGCAGAACTGACCCCTTTTGTTACTAAGGGCACCTTCACTTTCCACTTATTTTTATATACTATCAATCTATGGATTCTAGAGACCTTTATTCATAAGATTTTGGAACGAAAGGTCGCAGACCAAGAGCTGTTGCACTTTTACTGCTATTCAAACTGGCACTTTAAGGCTTATATATTAACAAGAGGCTTATTTATTAATATAATATATTGTTGTATTAATATATAACTGATGTTGTGCTGTGCTAATAATTTAATATATTGTATACACATATAATATTGATAATGTTATAATGTAATACAATATAATAGTAATAATAAGACAATATAATAATTATATATTCCATATTACATGTAATATTACTAATATTACAGTATAGTGGTATAGTACAATATGGGAATCTGTGGTACTAATATTATGCTATGCTAATAATATAATATATTGTATTTACATATAACTTGTAATCCCCCTTTGGGTGAGAAGGGCGGCAAATAAATGTCATAAATAAATAAATAATGTTGGAGAGTTGTCCCTGTTCAAGTGGTCCCTGGTGAAGTGGTCCCTGGTCAAAGTGGGCCCTGGTTTAAAAAAGGTTGGGAACCACTGATCTGCACTGTAGAATTAATGCAGCTCAACACCATTTTGACTGTCATGGTTCAGTATTATGGAATCAAGGGAGCTGTAATCTTGCAAGGTTCTCTTCTCTGCCAAAGGGTGCTGGTCCCTCACCAAATTACAACTTCCATGATTCTGTAGATTGAACTGTGGTAATTAAAGTGATATCAAACTGCATTAATTCTACAGTGTAGATGCACTATCATAGAAGCTGACTTGAAAGATTGCCTTCCTGTAGTGTCTTTGGTAAAGAAATTTCAGTAAACTCATTAAATCCATTCTTTAAATATATAGGACTTGAACTGAAATGTAAGTGCACATTAAATGGACACACTGCCCCAGTTCTGGCTTGTGCCTTTTCTTGTGATGGCAGAACTTTAGTCTCTGGGTAAGAATATTTCCTTCATTTATGTCCTTGGATTTTATAGTCAGTTTGGACCTTTTGCTCAATCTCTTGTCTGTATTTATATACCGTATATTCCGGCATATAAGACGACTGGGCGTATAAGACGACCCCCAACTTTTCCAGTTAAAATATAGAGTTAAGACGACTCCCATGCATAAGACTACACCCGCATATAAGACGACCCCTAACTTTTTAGAAGATTTTCTTGGGTTAAAAAGTAGTCTTATACGCCAGAATATACTGTAGTTATAATTCTGTTATGTGCATTCAAGTAATTTCTGATTGATGGCTACCTTAAGATGAATGCATGATTGTGTTTTCTTGGCAGAACTTGTTCAGAAGAGATTTTGCCATTGCCTTCTTCTAAGGTTGAAAGAATATGGCTTGTCCTAAGTTTCCATGACTGAGCAAGAATTCAAATATTGGCCTCTCAGTGTCCTAGTTAAACTATTTTGAGTATTTCAATTCCCTCTCATTTTCTCCCCAGTTTTGTTTGCTGACATATGCCATCCAGTTTTAGAATTTTAAATACAAAATGCTTACAGAAATAAAATTAGAATTATGAATGGTATGTAAATTGTAAAATCTTTGAATCACAAATCTAATTCATGTTAAATGACGTTATAGGCAATATTTTGATAACAAGTCCACTGAACATTGGGAACATTCCAGTTTCTATGTCAGGCATTTATATGAGGCTCAAATATGCAATGAGACTGTGCTCTTGTAAATGATGTAAGTAAATCTGACTTCTCTTGAGTGATAGAGAGGATCATTTAAGAGTTATTATCTTCCTCACTGCCCAGATCTTATTAGAGGAGCCTGCTCTTTTCAGCTTCTTCTGCTTTGCTTAGAACAAAATTAATTGAAAACATCTCACCTTCTCACCTGGGGTGCAAATACACTGTCTAATAACAGTTTGACACCACTTTAACTCCCATGAATCAGTGTTATGGAATCATGGGTGTTGTGTTTTTATAAGGCTTACTTACTCACTGAGTAAGTACTTACTTACTTACTCAGCCTTCTCTGCCAAGGAGTGCTGGTGCCTCACCAGACTACAAGATTCCTTAACATTGAGCCATGGCAGCTAAAGCAGTGTCAAACTACATTATTTTCTATGATGTAGATCCACCCCTGGACAGAGCATTCATTTTGGTCCACCTCTGCCCAGTACTTGAAAGCAATACTCAGTGTGGGAACAGATGGCCAAATCGAATATCTCCATCAACCCAGAAAGCACAATTTGTTGCAGACATCTCATTTAGCCTGGAGAGTAGATTCTGTGACAAGAGGTCTTCAACCAAATCCACACTCAATTTGTGAGTTTGGTTCTTGCTGTCTGTAGTATTTGCAAACCATAGATTGATGATCCCAGGGTCAACATCTCCATAGCTAAAAGCATGACTCTTTCTATTTCCCCCTCTTTCAGTGTTAGCAAAAAAGCTAAGAAAAGTAAGGGGAAAATGTCCTCAACTCCCTGTCCTTGACTCCCTCTTGGCCATGCAGACAGTGTTTCCACAACAAGGATTTTGGATGAGTTTTTCCACAGTAAAATGTGGCTGAGGTTGCGTGTCTGAGGTGTAAAGCTGAATGCTAATTTCTTGCTCATTAACAATTACAATTTGATAGCATTATAGATGACAGAGATGGTATGGTAGAATGTCATGTGTAAGAGAGTTCTTCATCCCTGATGCAAGAAGTTTTGCCATGCTTTATTTATTTCATTTCTTTTATATATCAGATTTTTTTTTCCTTTTTAGGTCAGTGGACAAAACTGTAATGATTTTTGAAACTGTAAGTATTTAACAGTTTAAAAAGGGAAGCATTATTGTATAGCAATAACAGTGTATAAAACATGGTGCTTTGAATGCGATTTTCCTGCTTCTTGGCAGGGGGTTGGACTGGATGGCCCACGAGGTCTCATCCAACTCTACGATTCTATGATGTAAGCCTCCTTATCTCTATGGTTTTATTGCAACAAGTAATTTTTATTCTTTAAACCAAACTATAGCATAATTAGGGGTGCATCTACACTCAGAATTAATGCAATTTGACACCATTTTAACTGCTCAATGCTATGGATTTATAGGAGTTGTCATTTGATGAGGCACCAGCACTCTTTGGCAGAGAAGGTTAAAGACCTTGTAGAACTGCAACTCCCATGGTTCCATAGCATTGAGCCATGGTAGTTAAAGTGGTCTCAAACTACATTCATTCTACAGTGCAGATGCACCTGTAATCTCATTCTGAATGTTGGCAGATTTCTTCAATGACAGTCTAAAGTATGTCAGTAGCTTGCAGTCTTCTTTTATCTCTTGTTGTCAGTGGATTGTGCACTTTAACAATATTTCTTGTAGTTTTAGCATGCTATTTTTTTCTTTTTGAATGGCATGGGCATATAAAACACTGTGTGTTTCAGAAGTTTCTTCCTTCCCATGTTTTTAAGATCCAAAAAATAGGGAAAGTAGTCAGAAGTTCTGTGGTTGCCAGTGTGCCTGTAGGGCTGGAAAAAAGAGATTTACTTTAATAGTCCCACTCTGAGTTTAAGGGAAAGGGAGATGCTTTCACTCTTTGTCGGACAGCAAAAGGTTACCTGAATAACCTGCTCCCATTCCTTCGACTGTGCCTAAGAGCATATTCTGCAAGAAACATAACAGAGCAAATTTGAAATGCAAGACTAGTGTACTTCCAAACAAGCCAATCGGGCAAGTTGCTAGCTGTAGGTTAGTTTCTTCTTCTCCCTGCCAGTTGCACCAGCAGCTTGTTGCACCTGAATAAATTCTTGTCTACATTTTGCTGCTGTAGATTTAGGCACTGTATTGAACTGCTGCTTGTATTCAAAAGTCCCTCTCGACTACCCCTTATTGCTAAATTTGATAAATAATTTAATCTCGGTCCTTAAATACTGTGTATTTAAATATGGACAAGGTGAACATGGATTATTTTCCCATAATTATTTTAAGCAAGTCCTGTCTTTTTCAATTGCTTCTTGACACAGGACTTTCATTACAGTCCATTTAGAGTAATAAAGTTAGTGAAATATTTTGACATTAGATGGATATTGGATTAAATGTTAGTCGATTCAATATTCTTATTCTCTTATTTTAGAGAGTAAAGGCTGTGTTAGTCATTTGCAGAAATACCTTTTGTTGCACCTGAAAGACTAACATATTCATTTTAAGCAGGAAATGTTGTATCTTCTGAAAAAATGCTTTTAAAAATCACTTTTTAAGAAGAAGACATATAAAATGTCTTCTAATGTGGTACAATGAAAGTATAAAACATATTTGTGAAGGGTAACATCTAGTGGCCAAGTGTGCTAATCACAGGATCTTTGAATTGTTACTTAAAGTAAAGATTACAGCATAATTCCTGTCATGCTTTCATTACTGCCTTATTTTTCAAGTGTCGCACAATTCTAAAAAGATTGTCTTCATAGAAAAAGAAATTACTGGATGATACTGTATTCCAAAATATTCCTTGATGAAATACTGAAAGTAGAAGAACATGTATTTCAGTTTTGTGAAGCAGTTTCACTGAGGCATATTTACATTTGTGGAATATTTTTCTGCCAATGCTAATGATTCAACTGCTGCTTTAGACAAGCTGTGCCACTCCATAGATGTAAAAATCTGTAAATATTTTTTTTTTCATATCTGTACTTCTTAGTTTAAAATTTTGCATATTTGACATATGGTGAGTTGTATTTCTGCTAGCACTAATAAATGCATTTGTTTTGATTGACAGAACACTGGGAACATCCTGCATACTTTGACTCAACATACAAGGTTTGGTGTTAACTTATTTTTTCATCCCATTAGCCAAGAAGAGTATTTAAAATACTATGTGCATCTACTGTATTGTTTTTATTTCTAGGTATGTTACAACATGTGCCGTTGCACCAGATATGCCATTATTTGCTACCGGTTCAATGGATAAATGTGTGAAAATCTGGCAGTTTGAACCAAAGCAGCTTTCCACAGGTTAGAATTAGACTATTTTTGGCTTGTGCTTTATCAGTTTTGCAATTACTTTTGTTTAGCCAGTATGAAATAAATTCAAACCTGCCTTATGTCAACTCTGACAACTGGTTCTCATTGTTGCCTTATTTGAGTGGGAGTGGCTTCCTGTACTCTTAAGCACATCATCATCATTCGTTTGTATCCTGATGCAACTAACAACATACTTTAAAACATTACAGATTAAAAGTGTACAAAAAATCAATAAAAACATAAGCAATGCATAAAATTTGCTATTACATTTAGCCCTTTATGGGCTTGGAATAAGACTGAACCAGTCAATCCCACTACATTAGTGGGATTGACACACACAAAATATTTGTGAGTTTGCAATCACTCTACCCACTCCTTTCACTTTCCAAGATGGCAGTTACACTTTGCACGACTCCCTTAGCCCATAGATAGGCATGTAGACTGACTGAACACCTCCCAAACTTGGCTCGATCTGTTTTCCTGTCTCTACAGCAGGCATGGGCAAACTTTTTATCTTGGGGCCATATTGCAGAGGGAAGGGGGCCGAGCATATGCTGGGTGGGGAGGGTCCGGAAGAGAAAGGGCCAGGAAACGGCAGGGCAGGGCAGGGCCTGGGTCATCCTCAGGTTATTCTCCCAGCATAAGGACAGGGCTGTTCACCCCATCCTTATGCTGGGAGTAAGGCAAGACGCACAGCAACTTCCCTGATCCTCCCTCCCGATCCTTAGGATGTCCTCTTGGCATAATGCCAGGAGGAAGGCTAGACAGATGGTGTCAGAGAGTGCTCTGGAGGACTCTCAGCCACCATGTTCCTTCCTCAAGCAGTCCTCCTGTCATTAGGATGGGGCTACTCACATCATCTTTATCAGCATAAGGACGGCAAGACACTCAGTGGCTGAGAGCACCCCAGATGGCTCTCAGTTGCTGTGTGCCTCCCTCCCTCATCTTTTTGACATAAGGATGCAGTGGGCCACTGTGTCTTTATGCCAAAAGGACAAGGAAAATGAGGAGGGCCTGAGGTAACCACCCAAGGGACCGCATCTGGTCCTCAGGCCTTTGTTTGCCCATGTTTGCTCTACGGTGTAAGAAGCAAGCACAGTGTGCACTGTTACAGCCCTCCAGACTTGAGGCTATTGTCTTAATGTGCATTTGTCAATCTTGGGCTTCAAGAGAGGAGAGCACAAAGAATCAGCCACTGACTAAGGTTCTGGGTTTTAGCTTGCCACTTTTGGACTCTCACTTGCTGAGGTATTCCTGCAAGTATCTCTGTAGATCTTAAGAAGCTATTTTTTGATTTAAAGCGTTGTTTTGCTGGCTGATATCCGAACAGAGGATGGGGCAGAGATGTCACTGCCTTGGTCCTTTCTTTACTTCCCAATGGATGTCGGGTGGTGCAATACCAGCTAAGCAGTATAATTTCTTCAGTTGCGTAGGGCATAGGTTTCCCTGCTGGTAGGTACAGGAAGGGAACTGTCCGTTTGGATCAAGTCATCTGTGCCAGGTCTCAAGCTTCTGGAATACTATGCCAACCAAGTTTTTTGGAAAGCAGATGTCATTCTAGAAGAAGGGAGGAATCAGCAAAAATTGCCACCCACACCCAGCACAAGCAGGCAGGACTGTGCTGAGTGCCCATCTGGATCATCTCATTAAAAACAAGTTATAATTGAAGCAAATTTTTCCTTCACTTAAGTGCACAATATGTTCAGGGTTTTCATATTACATAGCACTTTCTGATTTTGATACATAAAATAATAGGAATACACAGAATCTTGGCAATACTTCAGTGGTTTTATTTGAGAAACTGTTTGTTCTTTGCAAAAAATTTCCTTTTAATCTTCTCTCAGGAAGTGCACTAATCGAGGAACCAAAGATAGCTTTGGATAACTGGTCTGAAGAAGATGTTTCTGCTTGGCTGTGCAAACATGGCTTACAAGATCTAGTTGAGATTTTCAAAAAGAACAACATTGATGGGAAAGAACTGCTAAGCCTTACAAAAGAAAGCTTGACTGATGATTTAAAAATAGGTACGATTTTGCTCTCGCTCTCTCCCTCCCCTCTCTATATATGTATCACAATCATTCTGGTTTGTTTGTGTGTTATATTCTGTATTTTGTATACTGAGTGGTAAAATGGCTAGTTAAATTAAAAGTTTATTTATATATGCATAGATTTGCTTATAGACACACATGCAGCCTTCAAACATATCATGGCCATGGTCCTGAGGACCAGAAAAGTGCACATCCCTGCTATGGATCTTTGATGCATCTAGAATTTCCTGGTTCTACCTCCACTCAACATTCCTACCATTTCTTGATTTCAGTTCCCTTGAACTAGATGTACAAAATGTTACCCAGGGTCTGAAATGTGTAAAGGGGAGCAAGGATGAGAACCACATGCTGGCCAAATGAAATTGTCTGGATCAGTGGATCCTCAGAGGCTACTAAATCCACCATCATTTACTTTGCTGAAGTCCAATCACCTCTGGGGACTCAAGATTGGTAACCACCGATCTAGTAATAAAAAATTATTTGAATTGAGTAAACTAGAACTGTGCTTGAGGCCTAGAGTATTCCATAAACTGCAGAAACTTCCCCACTTCTGAGACATCAGAGATCATTTTCACTTGAATGGGGTTGCTGCTTTATACTGGATTATCTGGGTCCACACTGCCATATAATCCAGTTCAGTGTGGATTTTATACAGCTTTGTGGAATAGTTCTCATACATCAGAAAGTGGGTTTTTAGCACTCTGCTCACACTACATCAGCATTTGGATGTCATACTTTTGCAAGCCTTTTTGTTTTTGTGTTGCCTATTCTATTTCTCTTACAACCTGGAAATCATACTTAGTGTCCTTTCAAAAATATAGAATGCCCCATTTTGTTTATTTATTTATTTACAGTATTTGTAGCCCGCCTTTCTCAATCATAAGATGACTCAAGGCGGCTTACAGAATTGGCAGCAATTTGATGCCTTATATTCATGAAAATACAATTAAAGCGTTCACATTATAATATAAAACCATATAAAACCATTAAAAACATGTTATCACCAGTGTCGTCCTGTTAAACTCATCCAAGTAGCATCGTCTAGCCATTCCATGTTCATTTTTCATAGTTCATAGTCATTTATTGCAAGGCATTTCCAAACGCTTGCTCAATGAGCCAAGTTTTTACTCTTTTTGGAAGGCCAGGAGAGAGGGGGCCAATCTAATATCCCTAGAGAGGGAGTTCCAAAGCCGAGGGGCCACCACTTGACAAGGCCCTGTCTCTCATCCCTGTCAGGCACACCTGCGAGGAAGGCGGGATTGAGAGCAGGGCCTCCCCAGATGATCTTAAGTTCCTAGATGATTCATAAGGAGGGATACGTCAGACAGATAAGCTTTAAAGTTTTGTTTTGTGCTGAGAGTAAAGCAAGTGCCCTTGAATTTCATAGACTATGGGAATGCAGACCATGGGCTTTTCTTTCAGTGCTGTGTGGTAATTGCTTGGATCTTGTCCTCTTATATTTGTTTTCTCCCAGCGGCATTTAACTGAAGAGAAGGTGGCCAACAGGTGGTTCACATGGCATTTCATTAGGCTGTTTGTTTTTGACACTTCTTTGGAATAATATACTTCCATTACCATGTAGACACAACTTGCCTCCCTTCAAAAGCTAATTGCCATATTAGAACATAAACAACAGTTAAATGAGGACAGTGAAGTGCATTGAAACAAAGCAAAATATTTGTGCAGAAACTAATAAAATTTATTTCGGTTACATGGTAGGATTAGTGAAATGTATTATGAACCCACCCCCTCATCACAGTCTTTCTCCCTCACCCATTTATTATGATAGCTTACAAAACACCAGTAAACTATTCGTGACTAAACAAACATCTGGCACATTCTTATCTTTTTATACATGCTAAGAGTTCAGGAATAGTTCAGCAATAGTTAGCATTGCTATAAGACCTAAGTTACTCAAGTAAGTTAAGTTCCATTATTAAGTAAATTACAAAAAGGAATTCAATCTAGGTTGCATAAATTTGAGTTGCCAAAATTAATTACTATGGATGTGTTGTTGTGTTCAGGCATTGAATGTTTGCCTTTTATGTTTAAAATTTGCCCTGAGTCCCTCCGAGGAGATAGGGTGGAATATGAATAAATAAAATTATTTATTTGTTTGTTTTTTTGTTTATTTTCACCATGATAAATATCAAGCAGGATTATCTGATTTGATCCAATTTTCAAATCATTTTTATTTTCCTTCGTAAAAAAAGACACCAGAAGTATGACTTCAGCCAATTTTATATTTTTGACTGAGAATAGTGAGTCAAGTTGATTATGCTACTCTAGTAATTAATTATGAGATATATTCATTCTGGCAATAGTTAGTACATATTATGCCTATCAGTTGATAAATGTGGTACTTTCCAGCCTAGGTGCTAGTAGTTGTCTTTCAGATACTGATACTGTATCAGATAATGAAATTTATGTTATTATCTTGTTTAAATATGCGAGAGCAGGGAGAAAAAAATGAAAGCTTTTCTTGCTTGCACCATATCTTCTGTTTCTTTAAAAAAAACCTCACTTTTATGACAACAGTCACAAGAATGATTTATGTCAAACTGGAGACAAAATGAAATTTCTACAATAGAATATTAAATGGTCAAAATTTTAGAAATAAAAAACATGAACAGACTGACACACCTCACGGCAAAACATCAAGGAAACTCATGCAGAGAAACACAATAAAGAGCATTTTTTTAAAAAAAAACCTCAATTGTCATATTCAAGCATAATTTCACATTTTAAGAGTATGGAGCATGAAACCTGCATATCATATTTGAAAGGGTAACAATTAGATATTTACCAGTGTTACAGAAAAAGGAAACATTTCTGTGACTGATTGAAATTTTCTGAATTTAAATTTATTTATAAGTTTGATCTAGCTAATAGCTAATAACTACTATGATCTATTAATGACTCATATGCAAATTGCTTTCCAGATTCCCTAGGTCTTCGCAGTAAAGTATTGCGTAACATTGAGAAGCTGAGGAATGAGCTGGGGTCAGCCTGTCTTGGTATACCTGATGAATTTCTGTGCCCCATAACAAGAGAGCTTATGAAAGAGCCAGTCATTGCTGCAGGTAGGTCGTCTTTCTCTCGTCAGTATTTAAGAGAAAGGTAAAGATTTATATATAATTAGGGTAAGGTTGGGCAATTGTGGAAGAATAGGGGGCTATATTGGATCCCCAGTAGACCATGGAACAGACCCTTACCGCTATTGTATTTTCAAATAAAATCAAAAGTGTTTTTTTAATGCCAAACACACTGAAGGGTAGCATGGGAGCATTTCCACCATGTTTGGAAGCCTTTCACTTCCTATTCACTTCCTGTTTTAAAATAGTCTTCTTCAAGGCTTATATTTGTCAGGGGAGGTGGGGGGAAAACATGAAGGAAATATTCCCCAAATCTCTTAGAAAAATATTTTGGAACCATTTTTCCCCAAACAAAGTTTGTTCAGCCCTTTGGATCACAAAAACAGCTCTGGGGACTTGAAGGCAGCTTGAAAAGTGCACTTTACCCATCTTAATATCCTTTGTTTAGGATACAAGTTGTATGAAATGTTGCTCTTTCAAAGTAATAGTGAAAAGGTTTGTAATGTTCAACATATAGGCAACTTGTTTGTACTCTTGCCCATAATTGCAAGGTAAGTCTAAGTATTCTATCTATCTATCTATCTATCTATCTATCTATCTATCTATCTATCTATCTATCTATCGTGTCAGGAGCAACCAGACATTTGTATTACATTTTTAACAAAGCAAACAAACAGACAAAACACAAAGTTTGCCAGCTTGGTAGTTGATTAAATGTCCTTTGACTAGTATCTGGCCACTTGGAGTGCCTCTGGTGTTATCGCAAGAAGATCCTCCATTGGGCATGTAGCAGGGCTCAGGTTGCATTGCAGCAGGTGGTCAGTGGTTTGCTCTTCTCCAAACTTGCATGTCGTGGAGTGCTTCTTAATTGATTCTGATGTGGAGGAATGGCATTCCCTCCCCCCCCCACCCCAACATTCTGCAAGTCCACAAGCTGGAGAACTGGATCAATAACAGGAGCGGGAGGTGGAGGTCAAGTCCTAGATTTCACAAAAATCTAGGACTTAGTATAAAGATGTAAATGCTCTGGGAAAGAAAGATAAACGGAGTCCTGGACATAATAGAAGCCAAAGGAGGAGGGGGACATTAAGCAGATTCAGAATTGTTGTCATCAGGAGAATCCACCTGTTACGGAGGATTGTCAGATCGACCTGGTTGAGGTTGGAACAGCAGGACTGCAGCAGACATTGGGTTAAACCACTAAGCTACATAACTTGCTGATCGGAAGGTTGGCAGTTTGAATCCGCAGACGGGGTTAGCTCCCATTGTTAGCCCCAGCTTCTGCCAACCTAGCAGTTCGAAAACATGCAAATGTGAGTAAATCAATAGATACGGCTTCAGTGGGATGGTGAGGGCACTCCATGCAGTCATGGCGGCCATGTGACCCAAGAGGCGTCTACAGACAATGCTGGCTCTTCAGTTTGGAAATTGAGATGAGCACCAACCCTCAGAGTTGGACTCAACTAGACTTAATGTCAAGGGGAAACTTTTACCTTTACCTACTGGAACTAATGTGGAATAAAATACCGTTTACAAAGAATAGATGTCTATTCATCATCTCCACATATCTCTTGTCTTGCTCTATTTTTGGCACATTGAGAAATACATTTTACAATATGCATTATATACAGAGAGTGAAGGTATTAACATTTTAGTGTTTTTACATTTTCTAATTGTGGTATCAATTGTATGGCTGGAAAACGATCGATGGACGCATTCGGTTTCTAACAAATGTAGCTTTGCCTTAATGTAAACCGCTAAGTTATGCAAGGAAGGAAAATTATTTTGGTCACCATGGCCTCCTTCACAATATGCGTTTCTGTTCTGAAGGATTCTCACCACACTCAGGAGCAGCTTATGGGAGTACCTGATCTAAACAGATTGTGGGAAGCTATAAGAAATGTATAACCCACGTTATCTGGGTGCTTTCCGCCAATATCATTGATGTCGCTTAGTACTCTTTCAGAAATATCCCCATGTTAATGGTTCTGCAGAAATTCTAATGTGTGACTCTAATGCAGTGGTTCTCAACCTGTGGGTCCCCAAATGTTTTGGCCTTCATCTCCCAGAAATCCCAAAGGCTGGTAAACTGGCTGGTATTTCTGGGAGTTGTAGGCCACAAAACCTGGGGATCCACAGGTTGAGAATCTAAGGTTGAAGTAGCTCTTAAAATTGTTTTCTTCCATGGTTTAGTGATTTGGCATACCTGAGATAGGATTTTTGTTACAGTGCTGACTTCTGTTTCAGAAATGTTTTCAATTCTCCTTTCAGATGGCTATTCCTATGAAAAAGAAGCAATGGAAAGCTGGATTGTAAAACAAAGGCGCACCAGTCCCATGACAAATCTCCATCTTCAGAGCCTTGTACTTACCCCGAACAGAACTCTTAAAATGGCTATCAACCGTTGGTTAGAAAATAATCCAAAATATAATGAAATTCATTGTCCTAAGGAATGACTGGAGTTTTGTTGATGTTTATTTTTTATGAATGGTAATGAAACTAAAGATAGATATATAAAATCAGATATATAAAATCAAATCTGTTATTTTCTTGATTGCACTTCATAAATTGAATATCTTGATTGACACCAAACAAAAACAGGTCAAGTTTTTTTATTTAGCTTTAAAATTATGGCCTTTTACAATCACTCTGTATTCACTGATTACATGGGTTGAAGATATTTTTCAAAATTGCAAAAAGAAAACTTATATTCCAGTGTTTTCTATAATGTACACCTTTTACTATGCCATTGTATAGAATGCTGGCCAGCACACATTTTGGTGCTTCAAATGTTAATAATAATAATAGTAATAATAATAATAATAATAATAATTTGTAATCCACTCTATCTCCCTGAGGGGACTCAGGGTGGATTCCCACATACACAAACACAAAGGCAAATGTTCAATGCCTAAAAACAATGGAACATAGATAAAGGTAAAGGCTTCTCCTCTGGCTCTGAAGAGTCATGCTGATCTCCATTTCTAAGCTGAAGAGCCTGCATTGCACATGGTTGGCATGATTGCATAGAGTGCTGTTTACCTTCCTGCTGAGGCAGGACCTATTGATCTACTCACATTTGCATGTTTTTGAACGGCTAGATTGGCAGAAGCTGGAGCTAACAGCAGGAGCTCACTCCATTCCACGGATTCAAACTACCAGCCTTCCGCCAGGACGTTCAGCAGCTCAGTGATTAAACCTGTTGTGCCAGCACAGCCCCCAAATTAAGACCTGTTTCTGGGTATATTGGACCTTCTGAGTCCATAAATACTACCTGTTTACCCTTATCAGCTATAGTTTTTCAAATACAGATGCCATATATGACCTTCCTCACTCATAACAACCCCCCCATGATAACCATATCTAAACACATTGGAGCTAATGTGGTCTATCCAATGCATTTTTCTGAATCAGCACCCCAAATATCCTTAGGAACTGGCCTAAAATCCAAAATACCAAGATTTTGTTTTTGTTGGGCTATGCAATGGGACTTCAGTATCCACAGATTTTGGGTACCAAGGGGCCCTGGAACCAGATCCCAGCAGATACTAATGGCTCACTTTACATTCAACTCTCAACTCAGTTACCCTGAATAGACATAGATGGGGCAGAAGTATGAAGTCTATTAAAATTTTGTGCAATATACTGGATCATTATTCACAAATTGTACTTATGTATTGTGCTTTGATGAATGTATTGACATTAAATGTGAATTATTGGAATATATATATATATATATATATATTCCATGGCACTTTGTCCAAGTTAATAAAACTAGTTTTGTTTCAAAAATAGTTTGATTGGCAAGGGTAAGACTTACATGTTCCTTTGCAGTTCAGCACACTGAATCCTATAGTAGTAGTTTAAGTGGTAATCCTGTGTTAGTTTTCCTGGACATAAGTCTTGCTAAACTAAAGGGGATTTACTTTTGACTTAGGCAAGCAAAGAGCTGAGTTAAAGGCTTGCACGTTCTCATTGTAAGTACATAGGGTACTAGTCTGGCATGAATGGCAGGATTACTCTTGCTTAAGAACCAACATTGACACCGTTTCTTTAATTAGCTGTTACACATGATCTCCAGTGAAGCATTTTCTCAAACTAACAAACCTATCAAACGAGGCAGAGAAGGCTAATTAAATGAGCAAGTAATCACCAGTGATATTTCATGCAACTGTGGTGGTCATAATAGATTTTAGGGACTTTAAAATACTACTGTAGAATGGGTATGCAAGTCTGAAAATCTGACATATGCTGATCCCTAAAGAGCACCAGAGATTTACTGAACATTTATTGAAGACCTGTGTAAAGAACTTCCTTGTGTATATAGTACACAAGTGGAATAGAGTAACCCATATGCAGTGTATTACACCTTTCAAATGTCAATTCTCCTGCCTATTAAACTGTGGGTCCCATCCCCAAATGGGATCCCCTTAACTAGATGTTGGGATCACCAAAAAAACCTTGGTTTTCTGGATTTTATTTTATTTTATTTGTCTGTCAGGAGCAACTTGAGAAATTGCAAGGCGCTTCTGGTGTGAGAAAATTGACTGTCTGCAAGGACATTGTCCAGGGAACACCTGGATGTTTTACCATCCTGTGGAAGGCTTCTCTCATGTCCCCACATGAGAAGCTGGAGCTGACAGATGGGAGCTCACCCCACTCCCAGATTCAAACTGCCGACCTTTCGGTCAGCAGTCTCATTGTGCCACTGGGGGCTTTCTGGATGCCACCCATTTACACAAATGTGTTAGCAACAACATGCAGTGTTTATGTGGACTTTAGCTATATTGCACAAAAATGAAAATCAGCCAGTTTAGCAAGCCTTTCAAATGTTGATTTATTATCTGTAAATGTTTGATTTTTATACCTATTTTATATACCCATATTACTGGGGGTCACATAAAAATTTCTCAGGCAGGAGAAGGGGTCTCGAGTGGAAAAAAGTTTAAGAAGCCCTGCTCTAATCAGTTCTGATAAAAACACAGAGTACTCAACTAGAAGCTATATTAATAATTTTTTTTATTTCATATGGGAAAAATACAGTAGCTGTGCAAAAAAATAGATCTACAGAACGAGAGAATAAAATAAGATTTTACAAATACCAAGATAAACAATAAATAAGCTAGAGAATAACTGGTCGTTTCAAAATTGCAAATTCAATTATGGAATTTTCTTTTTTAAAAAAAACGTGCGAGAATGCTGTAATAATGTACATACATATTGTACACAGAGGAATAATTGTTAAAGGGCAACAGACTACTCCAGCTTATATAACCCCAACCTTTGTTACTTACAGGAATGTCCTCACAAACTAGTCATCTCAAAAACATTCTTGTAATTTTAAAAAGAGCATTTTTTTCACCGAGGAAAAAGTATCGGATGTCCTTCCCATAAAAAAACGCGCACACTATACCTCTCTCTCAGACCTTCATTGGCTATAAAAACTCTAGCAACACTTGCATTCTTCTTCCTTACTCTCCATCTTGTAGTGACATAGCACCTCAAAACGTGTTTTAGATAAACTATGTAAAGTGCTGTTTATACGTTGTTAACATGTTATAATCTTATATTACTCAGTGCAATAACCAGGATGTTGAACAAAATGCATGCAAAACCCCATGGAAATTACTTCCTGCCAGGTAAGAGCTAAAAATCTATCTCAGCCACATAACAGACTCAAACAGGGCTGCTGAATACTTTGCACAAATGTGAGAGGTTTCCTGAAGTTTACACCTGCATCCTTATAAAGCAGAAAGAATAAATATTTCCTGAAGAGAAAAGGAAAAGTAATGGACAGATCTGCATCCCACCACTGAGTATGAATTCATTTGAAACAATCACATAATATATCGACTGTACAAAAAGCACAATCCAATACGTGTTTGCTCAGACATAATGTCCTACCGAGTTCAATGGAACTTAGTCCAAAGTAACTGTATATAAGGTTGCAACCGCTTTCACCATTCACCTTTTTTAAAAAAAGACTTAACTTGGAATACTGTCCAATCTAGTTAGGCAGTCCTTCTCTTACAAAGTATTGAAACAAATGATGGAATTCTTTCTTCTTCTGCTGTATAAAAAAGAGTGTATTGATGTACTGGGTGGCCACTACCTGGTTAATACTTCCAGTCATCCTAGTCTGCCTGATCAAGGTTCAAGAAGTGGCTGAATGAACATGTTTATATAATACACTCTGTAAAATATTAGCGATTAATATCAGTAACGTATCTGCTACTATGCACTAAGTTTTACAACCAAAATGGCATGGTTTATCCCTATTATTAGTCTGCGACAAAACAGCTACCATTATTTACACATTAGACTCTACAAATGATCGCTTTGGCTTTGTAGAAGTGATGTGACTCGAAGTGTTGAGCTGAGAATGCTGTTTAGAGAGAACTTCCTGGTACAAGTGAGCCACTGGCTTGGCTATCCTGCCATCTTGGGCACTGGCAGACCCTTGGCACTTCAGTTCCTCAAGTTCTTTACACTGAGTCCCGTTCTGGATACTCTCTCCTGGCATTAAAAGGGAAGAAGAGGAGAAATTGACAGTCTGGTGGCCAGAGCTGCCCGGCTGTTTGGCAGAGAACTGCTCACAGCTCGAAGACAGGATTGCCCCAGCACTTTTCAGAAAGACTTCAGCAGGTTGTCCGTGCCAACTTCGATTGGAGGGATTCATCATCAACATCTGCTGCTGCTGTTGTTGAAAACGTACAGTTTTATCCATGACCCCCATGAAGGGCGTATTGCGAGGCCTGTGTTCTGTTGGCCCACTCGGGCCTTGGCCAGTTTTGCTCTCCTTGAGCCACATGTCTGGACCTTGTCCTTTCAGGTTCTCAGAGAAGCTGCTGCTCGAAGACAAGCTGCTCGTTGAGCTGGAAGGTACCATGCTGACTGAAAGTGGACCAGGGCAGAGAGAGTTTTGCTGCCTTAATTCAGCAGTTCCTGGACCTCCTTTTTCCAGATTTGGAGAAGCGTGGACAGCCAGCCTCTCGTGTGTTTTGGACTTAGTCATGAAAGAGTAGGAAGATCCTGTGTCACTACGCTGCACATAAGGAACCTGGACGGCTGAGAGTCTTTCACCAAACAGTGCAGAGTTACTGCCTGCTGACAGTGTGTTCGGTCCTTCAAAATGCTGGTTTTTATTGTTGTTTGGGTTTGTGAGGTGTCTGGAGGCCACTGGGCTGGGAGGAAGATACTGAAGAGGTTGAGTCTTTGTCCCAGTCTGGCTGGATCCAGACCTTGCCCCAGTCTGGATAGAATTCATATGCTGGTTGGTTTTTACTATCTGGGCTTGTTTTGTGGGCTGCATGGTCAAGCCAGGCTCTCGCAGGAATTTAGTCCCTGCTCTACTTGGCGGGGATATTGGCCTAAATTTCTGCTGGCTGCCTTCTTGAGGGTTTCTGCCACAGGTTAAAGCAGCTTGGGAGAGTGCTTGCTTCTGTGTGGATGGACCAGCCTCCTCTTCGTGCAAAAACTCCTCCTCTTCTATCTCTTCCAGGCTGAAGTGATCCTGCACAAGAGCTTCCCCTTCGTTG